ATGTCCTGACAGCACCTAGTAGTTACACAAAGCAGAGAGAGATATATAAGTGTTTAGATACTACTACTCCTTTAAATTAACCACAGTGATGTCATTCTATCTACCACCTGCTCCAAAAGACTCCACTATACAAGACTGTACCGGATCAATGGGATCAATGTGGAGGCAGAGCATGGAATTGTCCAACCTCAACATGTTTACTGAAAGCTGGCTGAAACATCCACATATGAAGGGTTAGCTAGAGTGATCAAGTGTGAGTCATTGGTTAAATGTCATCTACTACAACAGCTTGTTAGTTTAGTAGATATCTTTTCTATAGCAGATATTAGAGGCATTACACACACACACACACGTTTTTAGGTTTTACATCAAGGAGGTAGTTGGTATTGTGAGAGGTCTCAACTTCATGAACTTTTTTTTAAACATTCTAATAGTAAAAATTAAATAGGATTGTGTCCAATTCCCACTTTTTTTTGGTTGTCACCAAGTTTCTTTATACCTGGGTAGCTTTGTAGAGAAGTAGCGTATGAATCCCTTTTTTCTTCTTGACTACTTTATATATGTGTAAATGCACTTATTTATTTAAAGTAGAAGTTCAGTCAAATCCTAACTATACCTACATCTGCTCCCACCCCCATTCTAAGCTTATCCTAACTACCCTGTAAAGGAAAGCTGCATATACTTACCTATACCGAGGGCACTCTGATTCAGTCACATGATCTCTCCAGCAGCCAGCTTCAATGAAGAGGACAGATATCTTCAGTGGCCAGCTTCACTGAAGAGGACAAATCCCTCCAGCAGCTGGCTTCAGTGAAGAAGAGAGATTGCATATGTGGCATCCATTGTCAGCTATCCCACCTCTACACTGGAGCCAGAGCTGGGAGGCGATCCGGTGAGTTTTTTACTTTGATGGGTGATGGAAGATTAAGGATCTTCATTTGATGCACATGTTATGGTAATAAGGAAATACATTATATTGCCAAAAGTATTGGGACAACCATCCAAATCACTGGATTCAGGTGTTCCAATCACCTACATGGCCATAGGTGTATAAAATCCAGCACCTAGGCATGCAGACTGCTTCTACAAACATTTGTGAAAGAATGGGTCACTCTCAGGAGCTCCGTGAATTCAAGTGTGGTACCGTGAAAGGTTGCCACCTGTGCAATGAGTCCATCCGTAAAATTTCCTTGCTACTAAATATGCCACGGTCAACTGTTAGTGGTATTATAACAAAGCGGAAGCAACCAGGAACAGCAGCAACTCAGCCACGAAATGGAAGGCCATGTAAAATGACAGAGCGGCGCATGGTGAAGCACACAGTGTGCAAAAATCGCCAGCTCTCTACAGAGTCAATAGCTAAAGACCTCCCAACTTCATGTGGCCTTCAGATTAGCACAACAAGAGTGCATAGAGAGCTTCATGGAATGGGTTTCCATGGCCAAGCAGCTGCATCCAAGCCTTAAATCACCAAGTGCAATGCAAAGCGTTGGATGCAGTGATGTAAAGCACGCCACTACTGGACTCTAGAGCAGGGGAGACGTGTTCTCTGGAGTGACGAATCACGCTTCTCTGTCTGGCAATCCGATGGACATGTCTGGGTTTGGCGGTTGCCTGGAGAATGGTACTTACCTGACTGCATTGTGCCAAGTTTGGTGTAGGGGGGATTATGGTGTGGGGTTGTTTTTCAGGGGTTGTGTTTGGCCCCTTAGTTCCAGTGAAGGGAACTCTTAAGGTATCAGCACACCAAGACATTTTGGACAATTTCATGCTCCCAACTTTTTGGGAACAGTTTGGAATGGCCCCTTCTTGTTCCAACATGACTGCACACCAGTACACAAAGCAAGGTCCATAAAGACATGGCTGATGAGTTTGGGGTGGAGGAACTTGACTGGCCTGCACATAGTCCTTACCTGAACCCAATAGAACAGCATTGGGATGAATTAGAGCAGACTGCGAGCCAGGCCTTCTCGTCCGACACCAGTGCCTGACCTCACAAATGTGCTTCTGGAAGAATGGTCAAACATTCCCATAGACACACTCCTAACCCTTGTGGACAGCCTTCCCAGAAGAGTTGAAGCTGTTATAACTGCAGAGGGTGGGCCAACTCAATATTGAACCCTACGGACTAAGACTGGGATGCCATTAAAGTTCATGTGCATGTAAAGGCATGTGTTCCATTACTTTTGGCAATATAGTGTACATTGAAGTTGAATTCATACTATTTATTTGTATACATTTTTATTTTGTTATTTGGCGCTATATTTTCACTTTGATTATGTGACCGGACCAGACTGCCCTCAGAATAGTTAAGTTTACACATCTTTCCTTTACAGGGTAGTCAAAATAGGCTTAGAATGGGTGTGGGAACAAGTTAAGTATAATTAGGATTTGACTGGACTTCTACTTTAACTTAGTAAAACGGAACCTAGATTAAAATCTATATAAGGACTTTTGCTCCCTAAATTCAAAAAACAGGGGGAACACATAAAGCCTGGTACACACACATACCTATCAACCTAATGGGCTGAACGAAAAAAAAAAACTGAGGAGCTTGCTGTACTAACTATGCAATGTTAGTATAGTGATCACTCCGCTGAGTTATTGTGTCCCGACAGAAGGACTTACCCCCTCCCGCTAGAACACACTGGTCAGCGCATGCAACCATTGGCTGGCTTAGTCCAGCTCATGTTGGACAGGCTGCTTTATACACTGGCAAAATGTCAGTTTCTGTTGAACCAGAATATTAGGTCCCTGTGTACCAGCCGTAAGGATGCCAGCTTAAGCAGTTTCAAAAGACTTCTAGAAGGATCTGGGAAGAGGAGAAAATCTTTCAAAGGAACATTTACAATTAAAATCCAGTTGTTTAGTAGATGCCTGCATTGTTATGTTTCTGTAAGGTTCCTCCTATAGTATTCCCACTACCATGTTGATTCAGGTGACAAAATTATATCAAACTGGAAGACTGGGATGAAAGTCTGTCCTAATAAAGACAGTACGTGCCTGTATGTACAGTTACTTAACTTTAATCAGGTACAGTTTAGATTTACTCTGACATCTTCTATTTTATGTATTTCCATATCCAAGTGACTGAATCTGATGTGCTATGAGTGCCTTACAAAGCTTTGGGTTGAATAAGATTGAGAAGAAGGAGGACCCTTGTGGCTACAGATACAGGCAAGTCTCTGAACAATACAACAATGATAAAACAGAATTACAGGAGTCGCCTTGTTTTTAAGGTACCCTCTATCGGGTATATTAAGCAACCAGACCTTTCTTCCGGCTTTGGAGAATCCACTGGCATTTTATCGATGGTTAATGAAAGGTGTTAAATCTGTCTACAATCTTTTATATATAGGCTATATTAAATCCTTCCAATGCCATAGAAAATGGAAGATTCCCCAGGAGGAGTTTTTCCAATAATTCCAATTTAGCCATTACATGTTCACACTTCTTGCACTGGCTGCCCACTACATTTGTCTCTATTTGAATCTTGTCTTCTAAATGACCCGTACTCCACTGGTCTAATATCGTACACAGTAGTATGCTTAAAAAGGAAAGTGAGAGGTGAATCCCTGGAGATAGCCAAGTGGCACAAACTTTGGACTTCGACGCCAACATTTTAGCTCAGGAAAATGCAAATAAGTACCAATCCTTTGATACATGACCCCTAATCACATAGCCAAATTTACTCCAGGCATCATGAATTCATACCATTCCTGAAATATAGGAAAGACTTGTGTAGCTGGGTGTCCTGGCCAGACCTCATACAACCGGTCACTCACTCTACTTGTGTGGATAATTTATGGCTGAAACGATTGTTTATTCTTCTGTGCATACTTCAATAAAATCATTACAAAGTGTGTAAAAGAAGGTGCAAGCTCCTGGATTGTCACTTGATCTTTAATTATTATTATACAGAATTTATATAGCTCCAGCAGTTTACGCAGTGCTTTACAACATAAGGGCAGACAGTATAATTACAATACAAATTAATACAGAAGGATTCAGAGGGTCCTGCTCGTTAGAATTCACTCCTTATAGAGTCGTTGGCCTAACACAAGCATGTCTACAATAAGTGACCCTACAACTGATAAGCACAGGCTTGTAACAGCTTTGTTGTTGTCTTGTATATGACAAGTACTATGCAATAAGTGACTCACCAGGTAGTAAAGGATAACAGCTTGACAGCCTACATATTCAAAGCAACAAATCAATGGCAATTCCTATACATCTGTCACGGCATGATTGTTTTAACATACAACTCCAGCAAAAACCCTCTCTAAATTTTTAATGCAAAGACAGTCTGCCAACAAGGCCTCTCATCTGTCCCTTACAGCATCTAACACCTCAGATGCCTGTTTACATGCATACAGCCGCAATGCTTTCTGCCTGTCAATGTTTTGTACAGGCTTCATGGCTGAGTGCAAACACTTGTGGATCCCAATAGAGATTTATGCTAAATATTGATGTTGTATGGCTCAAAGTGGCTGATTAAATAAAGCCTAGACACTTACTTGCAACATTTTTCCTTTCCACAACATTTTTAAAATAACTTTAATGTGCCTTTCAACTTGCTGAAAATATGACAATCCATTCCCCAGCACAGCCCCTTCCCTCCTGCCATGTCAGTGCCCTCTACCTCTTTTGGAGTGTCTAATAACTCTCTGTGCTAACCCAGCTCCCTCGCTCCTCCTCTCCCTTTATGCTGCAGTCTGGGGAGCTGCTGACATCACATCCTAGACTGCAGAGCCCAACAGCAGTCTCAGGGCATTTGGATGTCTACAAAGCATGGCTAAAATGCATTTAATGCACATAGAATCATGTGGGAAGATTGTCTGGTGACAGGGCCTCTTTAAAGCCTTTAACTAATGTGTAACATAAAATTACTATATTGCCCCATGTACAATGCCATTTAGTCAAACTTGTTGGTCTTTACAGTCAGTTAGGAAAATGTGTTGAATTATAGACACCATAGTCCATAACCAGCCTTCCTTACCTTGTGTGATGCTTTGTTTTTGTGACATTTCCGGGGGACTCTTGGGTTCTGGGGCTTGCAGACGGATACTGCCATTGGATGTGCTGGAATGAGTATCACCACATACTTTGGTCACCGCAGTGACAGGCATGTGTGGCTTTCTGACAGATGTTGTAGGTAAGTGTTCTTGTACTGCAGCGGAGGATGAATCCTGTGTGGCTTTAACTTTTTCTGTAAAAGGGAAACACGATAACAAATAAAAGTACACCCATTCCGTAAACATACAAAAGCATAGATCATGGCAAACAAATAACCAACCCTGAAGAAATACTCTGATATGCAGACAACAGAGAGTGTAACTACTGGCAGTACGGAGGCCAACTGGTTCTAGTCCCATGATGTCCAGAGGCCCCAGCTATAACCTCCATGTTCTCAGGGTTAGTTCAGCTTTACCAAAAAAACTGTCTTTGCAGATAAGGGACACCCTGTAGTTAAAACAGACTGTTCAGCTTTGTCTTAAAGCAGAGCACCACCATTAATGATTGGCAAATTTGGGGAGTGGTGGGTGGGGGGATTTGACAGGTACCCGCTCCCACTTCCGATTACCTAGGCAATTGCAGCGGAAGCGGAAGTTGCCCTCTCTCCCCTTAGTCCTCTGGGACATATGACAGGTCCCAGAAGACTATGGAGCCATTCACAAAACGCAGCGCTTCTCGAGCATGCGCAGTGGGCACCTGGCTGTGAAGCCACAAGCGGTCACAGCCGGGTGCCCACACTAAATATGCCGGTACCAGGGAGAGAAAACGGCCAGTAAAACCAGCGGTGGTGAGGACACCGCTGGATCAAGGGACAGGTAAGTGGTTGTATTTTAAAAGTCTTTAAAAAAACAAAGTTTTTGTAGCTGCTGACTTTTTTTTTTCTTTTTTTTTTTAGCTGGAACTCCGCTTTAAGTTAGGTACTGCCCTAGCTGTAGGTGTAGGCCATTTACATATCTCCTCTTATATAGCGCCAACAGTTTGCTCAGCGCTGTACATTATAATGGGAGACAGTACACGAGACAGTACAGTAACAATACAATACAATACACGAGGGGTTCGAGGGCCCTGCTCCTTGGAGCTTACAATCTAGGAGGGAGGGGAGAGTGGTAAAGGAGGAAATAGCTGTGGGGGATGGAGTGGTGGGAAGAGCAGAGGAGATCAGCAAATTAGGTGAGGGCGGGGTAGGCTTCTCTGAAGAGATGGGTTTTCAGGGTGCACCTGAAGGTGAGGAGGGAAGGTGACAGTCTGATGGATTGGGGTAGTGAGTTCCAGAGGATGGGGGAAGCCCTGGAGAAGTCCTGGAGATGGGCAAGGGAGGAGGAGACCAGGGAAACTGGAGAGAAGGAGGTCTTGTGAGGAGCGGAGAGTGCATTTTGGGTGGTAGATGGATATCAGGTCGGTGATGTAGTTTGGGGCAGTGTTATGAACAGCATTGTACGTTAATGTTAATATTTTGAATTTTATGCGTTGGGCAATCGAAAACCAGTGGAGGGATTGGCAGAGGGGGGTGGCGGATACGGAGCGGTTGGTAAGGTGGATGAGTCTGGCCGCAGAATTCAGGATAGACTGAAGTGGGGATAGCCTGTGTTGGGGTTGGCCGGCGAGGAGGGAGTTGCAATAGTCAAGTCGGGAGATAAGGGAGTGAATGAGGTGCTTTGTAGTTTCTGGAGTTAGGAATGCGTGTATTTTGGAGATGTTGCGGAGGTGGAGTCTGCATGAATTTGTCAGCGATTGGATCTGGGGCTGGAAAGACAGATTGGAGACTAGAATGACACCTAGTACTCTGGCTTGCGTGGTGGGGCTGATGGTGGCGTTGTTGGTCGTGATGGAGAGGTCGGGGGGGGGCGGCGCGGGCTGGTGGGATAACTAGGAGCTCGGTTTTGGCAAGGTTTAATTTGAGGAAGTGGAGTGACATCCAGTCTGATATGTCGTTCAGAAGGCTAGTGATTCGGGCGGAGACTGAAGGAGTGAGGCGAGGGGTAGAGAGATAGATTTGAGTGTCATCAGCATACAGATGGTAGTTGAAGCCGTGGGAGTGTATCAGTTGGCCAAGGGAGGAGGTATAGATGGAGAAGAGAAGGGGCCCAAGGACAGAGCCTTGGGGACCCCAACAGAGAGGGGGAGTGAGGGGGAGGTTGCAGCATTAAAGGTAACACTGAAGGAGCGTTGGGATAGATAGGAAGAGAGCCAGGAGAGAGCAGAGTCTCTGAGGCCAAAAGAGTATAGTTTTTTTGAGGAGGAGGGGGTGGTTGAACATGTCGAAAGCCACGGAGAGGTCGAGGACTAGTAGCACTGAGTAGTGGCCATTGGCTTTGGCGGTTAGCAGGTCGTTGGTGAGTTTGAGTAGGGCGGTTTCGGTGGAGTGTAGGGGGCGAAAGCCAGATTGTAGGGGATCAAGGAGGTTGTTGTCGGTGAGGTGGGAGCTTAGGCGATTATAGGCTAAGCGCTCAAGGAGTTTGGATGAAAATGGGAGCAGGGAGATGGGTCTAAGGTTGTTTAGGTCGGTGGGATCCAGGGAGGGTTTTTTAAGTATGGGAGTGATGTGCGCGTGCTTCAGGGGGGAGGGGAATGTGCCAGTAGAGAGGGAGAGATTAAAGATGTAAGTGAGGGAGCGTAGGATGGAGGAGGAGGGTGATCGTAGGAGTTGTGTGGGGACAGGGTCAAGGGGGCAGGTGGTAAGACGAGCTTCAGAGAAGACCTTAGTGACCTCTTCGGTGGTAATGGGGTAGAAGGAGTGGAGTGTTGAGGGGGTTTTAGCATGAGGAATGTTGGGCGGGGATGGAGGTCTGGACAGTGGCGAGGTCGAAGGAGAGGAGTGTTGAGGGGGTTTTCATGTGAGGGATGCTAGGTGGGGCGGAAGTCTGAGCAGTGGTGATGTCCCTGCGAATTGTGTCAATCTTGCTTTGGCTAATTGGTGCATAGGGACACGCAGAGATGGCATCATCCGGTCCTACCTTGTTGCTATCACACCTTTAATGCTCACCCACATCATCATAGGATGAGTTGTGAAATAATACAAAAATAATGTAGCGCTTGTGCAGCAATATAAAATACAGTGACCCACAGTGAAATTAAGATAGGTTAGATCCGTTATGGGCCATATATAGTGAGTAATTAAGCACAGGCAAGGGGGGAAAGAACCCCTTTAACCACACAGGGATAGTAGACACGTGACCCCTTCAGTCCACAATATGGGACATAGATATATATTTAGTGCAGAATTGACAGGAACTAGAATGTGAAAAAACAACACTGCAAGCAATCAACACATCAAAAAAGTCCAGTGATCAATATCACATTCCTTCTGGTCATGCAAATAAGAGGAATGTGTGTGATCCCTCACACCCTTGAATGTGATCCAATCGTGGCTGTAATGGCCTCTCACCTCCTTCCTGCGACCCTACAGGGCCACAGAGCATTTGTTATACCACCACTGGGTCTAGGCAACACTCCTCACGGTTAGATGGCTTGAGAGTATTTCCCCAGAAGGCTATTTCCACCTCTCCAAGGGTATCCTTATGGGTCAATAAGCAAGATGGATCCCAGCTCAAATCCCCATAAGATAAAAAAAGACATCCGGAAATGCGTCACCGCGCTGTGCCGTCGACGCGTTGCGTCACGTGACCTCGTGACTTCATCAGGACTGTCCTGATGGTCACACTATGGAGGATGTCTTTTTTTATCTTATGGGGATTTGAGCTGGGATCCATCTTGCTTATTGACCCGTAAGGATACCCTTGGAGAGGTGGAAATAGCCTGCTGGGGAAATACTCTCAAGCAATCTAACCGTGAGGAGTGTTGCCTAGACCCAGTGGTGGTATAACAAATGCTCTGTGGCCCTGTAGGGTCGCAGGAAGGAGGTGAGAGGCCATTACAGCCACAATTGGATCACATTCAAGGGTGTGAGGGATCACACACATTCCTCTTATTTGCATGACCAGAAGGAATGTGATATTGATCACTGGACTTTTTTGATGTGTTGATGTGTTGATTGCTTGCAGTGTTGTTTTTTCACATTATAGTTCCCGTCAATTCTGCACTAAATATATATCTATGTCCCATATTGTGGACTGAAGGGGTCACGTGTCTACTATCTCTGTGTGGTTAAAGGGGTTCTTTTCCCCCTTGCCTGTGCTTAATTACTCACTATATATGGCCCATAAGGAATCTAACCTATGTTAATTTCACTGTGGGGTCACTGTATTTTATATTGCTGCAAAAGCGCTACATCATTTTTGTATTATTTCATGCTTCAAGACCTATTGGTGAAGGATTAGATGTTAGCAGCTGGTATACATTCCTGATATTAGTTTTTTTTTCCCTCACGTTTGTTTTACATAAGAGCGCAGGAGGACTTTGTATATTAATCATAGGATGAGTTCCCAACCCCACATATGTGGTCACTATCTTCTTCACAGACTTGCTGAGCTCAAAGCTACTGACCCAGGAAAGAAAAAGCACATGCAAAGGGATTTGAATCAGCTGGAATTGTCTTAGTAACAGTCTTTCAATAAAGCAGAACAGGATGATGCCATCTTTAGGAGTTTTTCAATTAGGCTTCAGGAGGTGCGTAGATAGCCTACACCTTTAACAAGGATATTATTTAACTTTGGTCAAAGCTGCACAGTGTTTTTTATCTATAGATACCCCTAACCTGCAAAGGCAGTTTTGTGGTAAAAGTGAACTAATCTTCTAATTACCAATTGTGTATGCACATGATCTGTAGAGAAAAGTATCATGTCCCTTAGCGAGACAAATGTGCAGGTTGCCATTCCTGACCTTCCCGTAAAATGCTAGATGCCTGCTTGTTAGAAATTCTGATTTTTATACCTTTCAGGTCATTTACTAAATAATAAAGCCAAAGGATCGATATGACTCTATACTGGACGAGGGTGCGTGTCCCTATGCACCAATTAGCCAATTATTAAATATAAACAGTAACCTTTATTAGGATTTTTATAAAAAATGTATATACTGAACTGTATTAAATTAAACATTGTAGACTGGAATGCACTGTGCTACAATCTCATAACTGACTTCATTACAATAATTAACCAGTAGACCCATCCCTTGTATCCAAATGGTTGACGGCACCAAGCCAAGTTAGATTACATACCATTTTTTGGTTGAAGTTGTGGTTAAAACAATTGTGGTTTGATCATATGCCAATATGCATATAAAGAAATGAAGTTC